ACGTTCTAATTTTACTCTAATGCAAAGACCAATTAATGTTGCTAGAGAGCAATGAGGTACTGTTGGATTAAACTCAATGCGAATCACAGATACTCCTTGAGGAGTTTGTTTTAAAATCTCAACGCAATCTTCATAGACAACATCTAATTGTTCTAAAGTTTGTGGTTTTTCTGGATCCTTAATCGTTCTCAATAAATCTATAATTATTTTAAATTTCATAAGCTTTAATAAAAATGATTCATTAATAATATAATAATAATTCTTTTATATTAAAATAATTATCAACTTAGTAATTAATTTTAAAAAATAATTAATTGATTTTATAAATTAAATTTATACAATTGATTGTCACATATAATATAGTTTATAATAAAAATATATATAATTATATAAAAAAATGTATAAATACATATATATTTATATTTATATAAAAACATATATAAATATATAATAATTTATAATAATAATTTGATTAATTATTAATTATTAAATTAATATACTAGTTTTAATTTCTTTAATAGCTATTTTTTAAATGAAAAATTTATATTAAAATTGTTATTAATAAAAATTGATAAAGTATTTTTTATTTAATCAAAAACTATAATTGATTTGATATTTGTTCAATCAGAATTTAAACTTGCCATAAATAGATTCCTTGAGTTCAGTATCAGATCGCAAAACTAAACTTTTGTTATTTTTCACCTCCAGACAATCTTCAATAGCCTCCATTTCATCATTTGCTGGTACACCATCTCTTATCTTCCCCCCAATTGAAATTTTTCGTAAAAATGACAACATTTTTACCCCGTTCCCCCCTGTCCACTTATAGCGATTAATAATACATCATTAAAATTTGTTTATATTACAACTTGCAATTACGTAGTACGTAGATGGACCTAACCTCTGGTCAACGACTTACAGAACGCATGTTAAGTGCGAAATCATGGCGCGGAAATTTAACGACGAAAAGTTTTTTCTTTTAAATTTTTTTACTATATATTAAATTTTCATTTTTTAATGTAAATAATTTTATAATACTGGATGTTAGAAAAGATTAAATATTATTCACAAAATAAATGAATTCCATAATGATTTTAAGCTTAAATTATCGATAAGATCAAGTTATTATAAAATCGATTTAATTTGATATCGATTTATACACTTTATTGATATTTAAAACTAAAGAAAAGTGTCATTCTATTTGATTTTAATGTATTGTCAGAAAAAAAATAATTTCCTGATTTTATAAGTGCAATTTATTTATTATACTTATGCATCATGTTTGTAATTATTTATTTATTTTATTTTGATTAATATTCTTAAAAGTTTATATTTGTTGTGGATAAATTATTACAAGATATAAGAAACATAACCCTAAAATTTACATACATATAGTATTAGATAGTTTCTATTTGTATATTAACTTATTTTCATATATCAATATTTTAAGTATATGATTTGTTTATTTAATAATGTTGTTGTTTATTTTATTTTTGTGAATTTATATATAATTTATATAATATATAATAAATCTTATATAAATTATTTTTAATGCAAGATTTAAAGAAAACTTTATAACTTTGAAAGATTAATGTAATAAATAAATAATTTATATTGTTTTATTTTATTTTATCTAAAGATCATAATATATTAAATTATTGAATTTATTTTGAATTATATAAGTTAATTATATAATTATATAAGTTTTTAAAACTAATTTATATTATTGAATTCTGTTTTTTTAATATAATTATGAAAAGGAATTAAAAATATGTTTAATATTTTTTTTGTTATTATTATATATTATATATTATATAATTTCTTTTTTCTCCTAAATTATCTAATTTTTAAAAATTTTAAGGAATTGATTTTAAATTATTAGATTTATGTTGATGAAAACAATATGTAAGTATATATTATATATATTATTTATATTTTAATAAATCAATATTACAATAATGTAATGATTACATAATTTTTACAGATTATTCATCGTTTCCTTTTTAATATTTTAATTCATATTTAAATAAAAGAAATATTGAAAAAAGTTATCATTATAATGTCGTTCTCTTCCTAATAACTTTCACCTCCATTGAACTTTGGTTGCTTGTCTAGAAGGTGGAAAGGTGGAAGGAAATTGAAATAGAGTGACGAAAGTTCATAGTCCAAAGATTGTGACCTGGCCGCAATAAACATAACCTATGATCCGATTAACATTGAAAAAAAGAGTGTGCAGTCTCAAGCGACGCATCTTGCGCACGCTCCGTTCCGCAGCGAAAGCATATAGAGAGAAACGTGAGGTACATCCATCGGAGAACATTGGCGAATTCGTAGAAGCTAACGGCGGTCGTGTCTGGGCCCTCCGTGAAGTTGATAAACGCATTCATTCCGGCTGACCGAATGAGGTTTTAAGGTGAGAGAACGGTGCAATGCGTGTCGGGCGAGGAATGCGTAAGAAAAGCTTTCTAGAGGGTCTGATCTTCCTGTTTAATCCATTATCCGCAACAGAGTATGAAATTCAAAAGCTAAACCTGTGATATGCGTCTTAAGGCGGTGGTCCAACGTGAGTTGACTGATTTCGACGAGACTTGGAATCCACATACTTGTGTTAGAAGGCTTAGAAGGCTAGTCACTTATTCTCAAGTGTTTGGACTGATGATTATCCTATAGTCTTGGCTATTCCAATTAGGGAAGGTAAGAGTTGTTTTTTGGAATGAAGGATTCTGTATAAAGTTTGCTAAACAAATTTCTTCATATTTTTTTTTTGTTCAGCTTATGTGCATTATTTTTTTTTTTGTATTCTTTTTTAGAGAGATTGATAGCATTTATTCAATTTTTTTAATTCTTTTTTCATTGTTTCATAGAAATAAAATAAATTCTTGATATTTTTTATGATTTATATTTATAACTAGAACGGAGAGAAATTGTAATTATTTCAAAGAAAGTTTAAACATTTACACCATAGTTATCGAAAATGTAAAATGACATTTATAATTAATGTGATTATTTTTTCGTGTGAAAGTATGCTATACGATTGTAAAATAATTAAATGAAGAAAATTTATTCGTAATTTATTATTCGTTTTATCGTTTATTTAATATATTTCTTTTTTTATTTTATTATTTAAATTATTATATTATTCATATAAGTATTTATATATATATAAATACTTGGATTTTATTTCTATTATCGATTTGTATCTATTACTGAAGGAGATAAATAGATATTATGTCTCTTTGATTCGTTCATTTCTTGAATGTATCAGAAATGAAAGTAAGAAGTATGTAAATGAAATAGAAAAAAAATTCGACATTTTTTTGTTTATATTACTTATGCATATTACATAAATGATTTTATTATATAAACTTAACCAATTTAAATAAAATAATTTCATAATTATAAAATAAAAATATAATAATTTTATTTTTTATATTTTGATCAATTATTAATAATTGATAATAAATAAATCAAGAATAATTCGCTAAGTGAAAATATATTCATTAAACGAACAGATTAAATTAGATTTTTTTATACAATATAAAATTCAAATAATAAAATATAAATATATAGAAAGCATTTATAAATATTTTCGTCATATTATTTCTTGTTTTTATTGAATGATAATTCTGCTTCTTATTTATCCTTATATTTAGGAAGTATTTTAAAAATGACGTAATACAATTTTAGTTTGTTATTATTAATAAATTGATATGAAATTATATTTTTTTTATTACATTTATATCTAAATAGTTATATATATAATATATCTAATATTACATAATAATCTAAATAGTTAATAATATCAACTTTATTAATCATTCGAATTTAAATTTTCGAAATTAGATTGCGTTTCTCTAAATATGAAATGTAAATTAAAAAATATTATTCAAAATCAAATAAATTGAGCATAAGTTTTATAAGTAATTACAAATCTTTCATTGCTTTAAATCAATACTATACTGAATCCAAAATAATTTATATATTTTGAAATTTTTATTAATAATATTTATTAATCAATATTATAATGTAAAATAAATGATTTAATTATATGATTAATCAGAATAATTATAGGAATTAAATAAAAAAAACGAAAAATATAAATAATTATAAATTTGGAGACATACTGATTAATTTGATTGAGAAAATAGTATTTCTATCGTTAAATCTATTGCGTTTAGTAATGTAAATAAAAGATAAGATATAAGTATTTTTACAACAATGTATAGAAAAAAAACTGATAAAAATATTTGTTCATTAAATATGTTGCTTGTTCATTCTCGATAGCGATAGCAAAATCAAAAAATACGTTGTAATCAAAATTATATCTTTGCAATACTTTTTTACTTTGAAGAATTGCAATAAATTTTTTTCTGAAAATAATATTATTGAATTGCAAAATATTAAATCTATGCATAAATTTAATTATTTTTCTTTACAACATATATAAATAAAAAGATGATATAAATATATAAATATTTTTCTTCATATATATAAATAAAAAGGTAATGTATATATTCATTATATTTTATATTAACTTAACCTTTTTATCATTATAGTTTGATTTCTTAATTATATATATACATATAATTGTAAATAAATAATTATTTAATAATTTAATTACCTACTGAGAAATTTCCTATACTCATTTCATGCATTTTTTTATAAATAAGACGTCAGATGTCACTCGATTACATTCTTTATCAAACTTGATATAATTATTAATAAAAAAAGCATGAAAATTTATTCAATAATTCTATACTATTATTTATAAAAAAGTAATTCAATTATTATTGAAATTTCAATAATAAACTATACGATATATATGTATATATAATTATTGTGATATATATAAAAAAATATGTATATATATAATTTCTGAGTTCGGGTTCTTACGTCTTTGATTCTAACAATTCTTTTTCATTTGGCGTACGTGTGCAGCGATTTCATCGAAATTTGATTTGTTTCGATCATTAATCGAATAAAGTTTGATTAACATAAGTGTACATCTAATTAAAAAATAATTGTAAGTTATATATTTTTCATATAAAATTTGATCTATAATATTAGATAATTTCAATTTTATCCCAAAAAATACAACTTACGTAATGTGTAATATACAAAAATCTAACATAAATATATCATCTTTCTGTTATCTTTCTATATATATATATGTGTATTATTGTATAATGATACAATGCAATTCATTAAAATATTTATTTTATCGTAACCAATCCAAAAATTGTTTAGTAAAATTTATATCATTCGAAGATATAAATCCAACATTCATTATTAAAATTAATTCTCTTAGAAATCATATAAATTATTTTTAATAAATCGAAGTAATATGAATATTTTTTTTGCGACTGTATATCTACTTACATACTACTCCGCCCGTTTGCAGCACGCAGCGCATGTGCGAACATCCCCCACCATACTACCGAGCGAATTACCGGAGTTGTCTGCCATCTGATTGAACTGGAGGTAAAGAGAGAGACCAACCGATAAAACGATGCCGCAGGCACGTTGGTGGAATGCTGTTATCGCGAGCAGTCGGCCTAGGACGTGGGAACAACTGACTGTCTCCGCCTCCGCGGGTTCAGGGACATCGGCAGGAAAAACACCCATATGTCCGACGACTGAAGCTGTAATCCACCGGCCGGCTACCATCAGAACATTACATCGCGGCATGGCGAGCGGTCAACCTGGAACCAAAATCCTCACTGAGGACAATGTCTTCACGAATCTTCGGAAAATGGAGTACGCAGTGCGCGGACCACTCCTTTTACGTGCTCTCGAGATCGAAAAGGAACTTCAAAAGGTAAGAATAAAAATATATTCATGAACGAAATGATAATGAAAAAAATCAATGCACTAGCTTTATAGCTTAATTCATATTGTATACTGTGTCATAGGTATCGAATGTTTTCATTGAAATCAATCGATTAAATAAATGTATTGCAATTCTATATGAAATTGTATTGATATAATTTAAATTCAATTTCAGATGTTTTTTATTGATTAATAAATTGGCGGTAATATAAATGTGAATAAAAATTGTATTTGTGATGTGATATTGTTTTTCTTATTGTATACATAATGTACATATATGAATAAAGTGAATAATAATGAATAAAGTATATATATGAATGAATATTGAGAATTAAATTCTATTGAAATAATATACACAGTATTAATATAATATATTTTCGAAATATCTTTGAAAGCTTAATTTTAGAGACAAAAACATAAAATTGGATATACGAAAATTATGATTAAGACTTATTTATTTATATATTTCTTAAATAATAAATAATTGAAACTTGCATTAAACAAAAAAGAATAAGAACATTCTGTTTCCGCTATAACGCTCTGTTCCCGCTTTATTTCATTTAAGAATTATGTATTTAAATTATTCATAACTTAGTAAAAATTTCAATCAATAATTTTGTATATCAATTTTTATGTTTGTTTTATTTATGATTGATTCTTCAAAAATCCTGCGAATATATTAATATCGTGTAATATTGTTAATATATGTTAATATAATGTTATTAATATATTATATTATACGGATATTGATATTGCAAATAATAATTATATGTAGAGGTTATGTCTCATTTACTAAGATTTATTGATAAAAATCCGCAATTACTATATATACTATATATAATTATATATGTATATTAATCATTTTAAATCATTTTTTTCATACTATTTTCTAATTTTGACTAATAATAATAAAAAAAATATTATCAACTAATATGTGAAAAAAAATGTTTTTTTAAATTATGCCAATCCATTTGACCAATATTTTAAAATACAAAAAATTGTTTTGTATTATTTTATAATATAATAAAATATTTTATAATAAAAAATTAGATAAAAAATATATAAAAAAATTTATATATTATAATTAATAAACTAAGTAAAAATATATTAAATACAATTTGATTAGTTTCAATTGATGTTAATATTAAAACCACTTGTCGTTATAGTAGCAAATATCTAAAAATAGTAATTCAATTGGCGTCGATTAATGCAAACGAATATTGCATTTTGAAATAACGTAATTTCTACAAAAAAGTTTTGATATCTATATATATATTAATTTTAAAATTAAATTTTATAAAATTTCATTATCAAAATCATTTTCAACATTATGATTACATAAAACATATTATATTTGATACTATTTTATTAAAAATATAACTTAATTTATATCATAAAATAATAATTATCATTATAGAAATAATATATAATTATATTATATACATAACTTATAATGCAGAATACATTTGTATATTTATGATATATGATTTATATAATAATATAGTATAATATATTATAAATATATATATATAATTGAATCAAATTTTAAATTACTTAAAAATTACAATTTTTCCATTATTTGATGATAAATTATCTCTACAAATAATTTCGTTAATCCATCGAATAGAACAAATGAGAATCATAAAGATAATTATAAAACATATTATAAACATATTATAAAAAACGAATTAGAAATATAGTAATAAATACAATAATAAATATAGTTAAATTGATCTATTTATTTGTGCAATTTAATAAGCTATGAAGGAAAATAAACACGCTATATGTGTAAAGACCTTCATTTGATTATTATATGATTATATGATTATATGATCATATTACATATCATTTATTAAATATATATTGTCAAAATTCAAAATTCTTATTATCGAATATAAAAATTAAGAATAAAAATTGCAATATTTTTTAATATTTTTATTGTATTATATAAAAATTTCTATAAAAAATTTTATGTCTTCAAAAATAATTTTTTAAAATAATATATAGTAAATGCATAATTTCACTTTTAAATTTTCAAGTATAAATGATAAATATATATAAATGTGTCATTTCTACGGAAATCTGGATTTTCTAGAAAAATCAATTTTGAAAAAAATTACTATGACTTATTTCATGAACATATTTTAATATTTTCCATTAGTTCTTCAAATATGAAATTACGTGTTAAAGTTTCAATTATAAACATATAACGAAAAAATTATGATGATATCGCTTAAAATTATTACATTATTATATTTATTACATAATATTTATCATATATTTATTTATTTAAAAAATTTATTACATAATATTTATTTATATATTTATATATTTATTACATATATTTATTTATTTAAAAAATAAATTGAAATATATAATGTTATAAAATTTTTTTATATTATATTATGTTATATTTTTAAAAAATTTTATTTAATTATTATATTTAATTATATTTTTTAAAAAATTTTATTTAATTATTATATTATATTATATTTTTAAAAAATTTTATTTAATTATTATATTTTTTAAAAAAATAATTTTAAAATTCAGAATCAAAAAAATAATTCCTTGCAATAATAAATTGGTTGTCAGTGATTTGATTTAAATGCTGATTCAAGTGTTTGAATCAGCATTTAAATCATATCTATTTTATTTTTTTTATCTATTTTATCTATTATAAAATCTATTTTATCTTTCTTAGATTCAATGTAATTTTTTCATATTTACTTCATTTAGGTATTCTGTGTTATATGTGTATATATTATGAATCATGCTATGTTGCGTAACATTTGCAAATATGTTAACCATTTACAATCGAAACGTTTCGTATATGTTCTCAATTCAATCAAATTAAATTATTAAAAAAAATTAATATATAGATAAAATGTTCAAAAAAAAAATTCACTAAATCGTGTGATTTGAAATATAAATACATATATGTAACTAACAAATAAATTTAATTCAATAGGTTATTCATTGTTTTAAAATCTAGTTGCAACGTTGGTCAAAATGTTGGAATATAACTTATATTAGATAATTAAATTGTAATAAATATAATTAATCAAATTTGAGAAAATAGTTCATTGAAAATATATCTTTTTGTTTTAGGAGTCAAGAAACCATTCAAGGAGGTGATAAAGGCAAATGTGGGAGATGCACATGCTATGGGCCAACAGCCTATCACTTTCTTGAGGCAAGTACTGACCCTGACGGTATCGCCGAATCTTCTCAGTGATCCTAACTATCCTGAAGACGTGAAGGATCGAGCTAAGACTATCTTATACCATTGTAAAGGAGGCAGCATTGGCTCGTATTCGGAATCGGCAGGAATTGAGATCATCCGGAAACATATTGCTCAATACATTCAAGATCGCGATGGAATTCCATCTGATTATCATAATATCATCCTCTCGAACGGCGCCTCGGATGGAATTAAAGTGTGCACGTTATTTTATTATATTATTATATTATAATGTGTTTCAAAATTATGAGTTTATTGAATAGATATTTTTAAATAATAGAGTATAATCATTTGAGATATTTTTTTTAAATATATATGTACATTTATGTTTTTTCAGTAATAATGTTTTTAATAAACATACTTAAATTTATGAATGGTTGGATGAATAGTTTATTAAACATTTTAGTTTTAATCTTTTATATGAAAATTTTATTTATTGAACTCATAATTTTAAAACACTTTTTATACTATTATTTGTTATTAAAAATCAGAGATATTTTTATTGAGTATAATTAATTATTTCGTATTAATTAAAATTATTTCCTATTTCCTATTAATGAAGGACTATCTATAATCTATAATTTTATAATCATATAATCATAAAATTATTAACATTATTACAACTTATAACTAAATTATTAAAAAATCATTTACATCGTATTTCTGTTACAGTCCTTTTTGAAGCTGTTTAACGAAAAAATAGACGGTAAACCATCCGGTGTGATGATTCCAATTCCACAGTATCCTTTATATTCTGCCACTCTAGCTGAATTTGGTTTGGGTCAAATTGGTTACTATTTAAATGAAGAAAATAAATGGGCATTAGATATTTCTGAATTGGATAGAGCATTAAATGAATCAAGAAGAATGTGTAACCCTCGTGTACTGGTCGTAATAAATCCTGGTAATCCAACTGGACAAGTTCTTACACGTACCAATATCGAGGACATTATTCGATTTGCATATAAAAATCATTTGTTCTTATTGGCTGACGAGGTTTATCAAGATAATGTTTATGATAAAGATAGTGCCTTCCATTCATTTAAGAAAGTAATGACGGAGATGGGAGAACCTTATTGTAAAATGGAACTGGCTTCCTTTATGTCTATTTCTAAAGGTAAAATTATGTTTATTTTCTATTTTAATAAATATTTTTTAATTAAATTTTAATATTTTTTAAATTATTTATACTTTCCGAATAAAATATTCATCAATGTGTTTTTTAATTACTAATACTTAAATTTATGTAAAATAATTATTGCAAAGAAATCAACTTTGCAAAAGTGAATATGTTTATTATGGGTCAGGTTATATGGGAGAATGTGGAATCCGCGGCGGTTATGGAGAAATTATTAATATGGATCCTAAAGTAATGGCAATATTATTGAAGTCGATTTCAGCGATGTTGTGTCCAACTGTTCTTGGTCAAGTAGTGATGGACGTTGTAGTAAATCCACCAAAATCAAATGAACCATCTTATGAATTATTTCAAAAAGAAAAAGAACAGACTTTATATTCTTTAGCGGAGCGATCGAAATTAGTAGTCGATACATTAAATACCATTCCAGGTTTTAAGGTATTTTAAAAAAATTAACTATAATTATTTTATTTTACAAATCATAAAACTTTTAATTTTTTTATTTAGAAAATTTTAAAATTTTTATGAAAAATTTCGAGATTTAATTTTTATAGGTTAATCCAGCTATGGGTGCGATGTATGTATTTCCACGAATTGATTTACCAAAAAAAGCTATAGAGGTAGCGGAAAGAGAAGGCCAACAGCCTGATGTCTTTTATGCTTTCAAATTATTAGAATCTACCGGAATATGCGTAATACCAGGTTCTGGTTTCGGACAACAACCTGGAACCTATCATTTTAGGACGACAATTTTACCGCAAAAGGAAAAATAAAAACAATGCTTGAATGCCTGAGACAGTTCCATCTTAAGTTCCTTGAGGAGTACAAATAATAATATTTGAAAATTTTTATATTATTTTAATCTCGAAATCAGGGTCATAATATATGAATCAGTATTAAATTTTCATGAAATTATTTTGAATTTATTCGGAAGATTATTTTGCACTTTATAGTAAAAAAATATAAAAAAGAACTTTTGAGATTGTTATAAAGTAGATTTATTATACACGTATTTGTATGTATCACAATAATTCATTGATAACTAATAGATGATATGTTTTTTTATAATACTCATTGATGTTATCAGATTACAATAGAATTCCGTTTATGTGATTGAAATTTTTATACTTTTATTATCTAAACTTTATTATATGAATTATTATCGAGTGTCGTTCCACTTATATAAATGTCTAAAATATATGTAAACATTATTATATATTTAAGGATAAATGTTTAATAGAATTCTTATTAGAATTCTAAAATTATTCATATAATTCTTATAGATAACAATATATAGATAGTGAACAAACAATTATAAATGATGGGAATAAAACTTCTATTGATCTGATTACATGAACCGACTTGCCCTCTGATAGGTTTATATAAACGGATTTCTACTGTACATAGAAAGTATATTTGAATATTGAAAGTATAGAATACTGTACATAGAAAGTACATGTAATTTACATTCAAACAGATTATAAGTATAATTATAAATTTGCAAATAATTTACATTATATGCAATTTTCATGGAGAAATAAACTGTTATCAATATAAACAAGATGTACAAATGAACTTGAAACAGATTTTAAAGTTTTTATCATATGTATATATATATATTACATACATTCAATGAAATTCATCTAAAAAAAAATTTGTGTTCATATTTATTCAAGATTCGCAATGCTAATAAAAAATTATACATAAAAATTAAAAAATGTGCAACATCTATATTTATTATTATTTTTAAATGAAATTTATTATTAAAAATATAAATATATATTATAATGTATATTATAATATATATATATTATAATGTGCATTCAATAGTATATATTAACAATATATTAATTATTATATATTATATATATATCAATATAACTAATAATTTATTGTTTCACATAAATATTTTGCAAATGAAATACTATAGTTAATTTTTAAATTAACTATTAATTTTTAAATAATAAGTAAAGATGTGATTGATAATTTTGAAAATTATATTTTCTTGAAATTCGTAAATAAGCTAATTAACATATAAAAAAATTTAAATGAGATTAAGTGGATGTTGATTCATGTATAATTCTACATGAAAGTTAATATAATGTAATTAATTTTAATTTTCTTTTTAAAAAGAAATCTTTTAAAAGCGTATCAGTTGTTTAAGTAATCCATATTTCGAAATAAAAGATTAATGTAACTTAAAGGAATAAACATGAAATTCACGAAACAATGTTTAAAAAAAAAATAATAAATCGGAAAAAATAAAGCTATCAATATATTATATATAAAATAATCAATTGATTATTATTAATTAAAAAATATTTTATTATTGTCATTAAAAATTCTTTGAATTAAATTTTGTATTATTAGAATTTAAAATTTTATAAAAAAAATCAATTCTACAAATCAATGGCAAGCCTCTCGATTTCTTCCGCAAAAAATCTCATATCAGTCTCTGTTAGTCCAGAATTCTGTAAAACAAGTCTGAAAAAATTAGGTAGCTCTCGTAAAGGCTGATACGTGATTAACATCGATCCTTTTTTCATCATACGCTCTTTTACAGCTGGCCCGATCTTCTGAAGAGCCTTCAACAATTCTTCATCATGTAACTGACGCTTTGAAGGTGGCACGTACCAGAAACAGACATTAGTGCACTCAGGTTCGAGTATCAATTTAAAGCCTTCTCGGTGTCTTATATAATTTGTGAAGTATTGTGCTAATTTAAAGACTCGATCCACATGTTTTTCTAAGCCTCGAGTACCCTTCGCCTTCCACATAAACCAGAATTTTAATACATCTGCTCTACGACCACATTGAATATGTTTGTCTCCATTGTCAAAAGAAGTGTCATAGAATTTATCTGATTGAAAGAGATAACTGGCTTTTAAACCATGTGCATCTTGTAAAAGACCCTCATGACGCAGCAATAGTGTTGAACATTGTTGCGGAGCGGCCAATAACTTATGTGGATTCCAAGTAACAGAATCTGCTAGTTCAATACCATCCAAGAGGTATTTATATTTTTTAGATATCAAAGCTCCTCCTCCCCAAGCTGCATCTACATGGAACCAAAGATTGTAATTCTTGCAGATGGCAGCTATATTTTTTAAAGGATCAAAAGCACCTAAGACTGTGGTTCCTGCTGTAGCAGAGACCATCAAAGGTATTGCGTCTTCTTCAATGGCTTTTTTTATTTGTATTTTCAAATCTGTTATGCACATCTTTCCTTTATCATCAGTTTTCACTTCATAGACATTTTCAGTACCTATTCCTAAAAATGCACTGAGTTTCTTCATAGAATAATGAGCATCTCTGGATGTGAAAATTATTAATTTACCAGTATTGAATAAGCCTAGTTCTTTCAATCGAGGAAATCTATAAACATATATTATATAAAAACTTAAAATTTTATTAATTAATTAATAATTAATAATTAATAATTGAATTAATTGATAGAATAAATTTTCAAAAATTATGAAGTACTTGTAATAGCGTGCCAGATTAATTGCATATCCGTTGGCGATAGAACCACCAGGACAAAATATTCCTTCACTTCTACCATCCTTCCAACCAACTATTTTTCTCATCTCTCGCAATATTTCCTCTTCCATTAAAGAGAAAACTGGAGAAACTTCATAAGTGTAGACTGACGGATTCAAGGCATCAGTTAGCCATTGCCCAAGAAGACCATAAGGATCTACACTGGAGTATAATTGATTTATAAATCGAGGATGACCTGTTTTTACACTATACTTAATCACATTGTGGGCAAGAGTCAAAAGTGTTTCGTAAGAGCATCCCTGGTCGGATAATTTTAAATCAATTATTGAATGGAGTGTTGTTGGTTCTATCCACTCCACTACTTTATTTCTTCTTAAGGTACCCTGAAAAATAATTCTATTGTATGATGCGAGAAATATTATTTAATATTATTTAATATTTTTAAATAATAATATAATATACTTAATAATATCATCATCTTTTCCCTTTCGAATTTAAATAATATACAATATACAATATTGTGTATCTTATATATAATATATCTTATATATAATTTTAAATTTATTTTAGATGAATTAGAATTAATAATATGGGAAAAAAATTAAATTGAAATTAAAAAAATAGAAATTTTAAAAATCTATTATCCATCTATATAATCTCAATTTTTATTTATTGTTATCACTTTTTAACATTCATTGAAAGGTAATTAAAATTAATTATTTATGAAAAAGAAAAAAAGAAAAAAATATTTTAATATTCAAATATTTTTTAGAATTTATACGAAATTTTTTAGATTTGTAAGAAATATTAAATGATTATTTAAGCTAATATTATGTAAATTACAAATTACAAACTATTAAATATTTTAATATTTTCCATAGAAATACGTATTTCGTCTTACAATAATGCATAAATGCTGTTATAGCAGTAACTTAAATGCTATTTGCAACATAATTATTTGTCCATGAATTGATACAACGAATTGTGAATGAGCGCAAAAAAAACTCGCATAACGAACAATTGAGTCATATTGAATAACTAGAATAAAGAAATTAAATTTTATAATATTTGTTTATGGATGTATAATACTTATTTAAAGTGTTTTTTTTTAAATTAAATTAGATAATCATATCAATATCAATTAAATAAATCTGAAAGAAATTTTTTTGTTTTCTGCAATATTTAACTGTTATTCAAATTCTCTCTAAAATAAGAATAATGAATATATAAATTTTTTAAGTTTGTTTCAATAATGAATATATGTATTATATATCTCTGGTTAATTTTAGGAAATAATGAAAGAAAATTATGTTACATTTATGAAATATAAATGTAATTTATGAAAATAGACAAAATGAAGAAAATAAATTTTTATGATAATAATGTATTTGAAATTTATATGTAATATAATTAGATATTTTAAAATGAATGGCTTTAATAAAAAATAAAAAAAGTGATTGGAAAACACTCATATATAACATAAATCATATTGACCATGTTTTTTTATTCCGACGAACAAGAACTTTTACTTAATAACAAAAATAAAAATATTATCAGAATTCATTAATATTCTATTGTATTATTATAAAAATTGAAAATGAATAATCGCAAATTATTAATTGGAAATAAAGAAAAATTATATTTATATGAAAAATGGAATTTTTTTTTGATCAATAATAATCAATATTATTCCAATTGAATATCAATGTGATATTAAACTTTATTTTATATAACATCATAATTGATTTGATATTTATGAATAAAAAATATTTATAACAAATATTTATTTAGAATTTATAGCAAAAAATGAGAATAATTTAAATAATTTTTTTTATCTTAAATATTTTTTTATTATATTACTCAATATTATCACTAATTCAGAACTAAAAGTAACAAATCAGAAAATACTTTAATAACAAATCATTTTCATCATATTTCTGTAATAATTAATTTTAACGATGAACTCACCTCAAAAATTGCTTCTTCCAGAATTAAATTAATGAAATTTTTTATGAATTTTTCATGAATTTCTCGTACCGGAAGACTTTTGTAATTACAAACTTCTTTGAAATTTTCTTTGACAATAGAGCGTGAGCAATCATTTTGATAGTCCTCTTCGTTATCACCAGAAGATTCACAATCAAAATTGTTCTGCACATTATCGTCGTAAGCTTTTGCGAGTAAATTATCTTTTATTTGATTCGAAGTCATGCTCAAAGTTTCTTCGTTCGCGGGCATGATTGCGCATCGAAGTTTTCTTCAATCTGCTCCCGTGGTGCCCGTTTCCTTTATACTTAATGTACGAACCAAGGACAAGATTGTTGCGTGTTAAATACCTTCGGCTACATTTGTTTCACTGAGATTCGCAAGACTGGTTTTTTTTTCTTCTCTCTTTTTCTAATCAATATTGCGACAGGTTCTTGATGAATTGGGAAACTATCTTCCGTTTTATATTTCTGTCTTTTCTGATATGATAAAATTATATTGATTTATTAATTGTAAAAAAATCAATGATTTGATATTATGTTGAAAAGTTTAATTTAATTGGATATACTATGTTTAAATTAAATATACTTTATTTAAATTAAAATTTTAATTTAGATTTATGAAAGAAATATGTTGAATGTTCAAGTTTTTTTAGATATTAATTTTTATTTTTATTCCTTGCCAAGTATATTTTTTCTTACATTTTCTATTCAATTATTTCTGTTTGAAAAGTTTGCTTTAATTAATTAAAAAATATATATATTAATATTTATGATATTATACCATATAATATTAGTAATTAATTCGATAGTAAAAGAAATCGGTTTTACAAAATATATTTAAAATATATAAAATATATTTAAAAATATCATATTAGATTATCTAATATTATAAAGAAAATTTCATAATATGTAATATTACTGTAATATTATTTAATTTTTCTTAAATATTATAAATATCTATCATGATATGATTGATAATGATATAGACTTGCAGAAAAAAATACTCCATCCATATATGCATAAATGAATATCGAAGATTGCGGAAATATAAATGTATCATTCACATATTGCGTGCATGGTATCAAGTATCATTAATGATTTTCTTGAATTACAAGTGCTAATCAATAATAAATTTCAATCATACATTAATTCCTTATAAATCACTAATACCTTATGAACAATATTATATGAAATTTGAATTATATTCAATAAAAAAAAATTTCATAAAAGGAAATTATTAAATAATAATACTATTTAACAAATATTAATATATTAATATTTTTTTATATAAATATGTTCCATTTAAGTTACATAATATTTACATCAATTTAAAATTTAAAAAATTTTTTTGATTTCTTGTGATTTTCTTTCTTTATTTTTATACTTTTATCATTTTTTATCTTTATTATTATTTTTATCATTGTTAATTTTTCATTGGAAAAATTTTCGATGATTCTAAAAATTTTCTAGAAATTGATAACAATTTTATTATAACAAATTCATTCTTTATAAAAATATATTTGTAGATTTTTGTTTGCAAAATTATTAATAGCTTGCAAAATTTGAAAAATATCTAGTATTTTCAAGTAGTGTTTTATGATTTCTGATGTCATTTCACACAAAAAAGTATATATTAAGAAAACTTTCTAAATATTTTTTTTTTTTTTCTTCAAAAGTTTCTTCAATAATAATAAAAATATTCTTTTAAATATTAGAATGATTTCAATATATTTTTAAGTATAGTTCCATTTTATAAAAATAAAATTTATAATGCAAATGATTAACAAGTTTTATAACAATCATATACATTATAAAATTAATTATATTTAGGAAAAAATTTATTGACATTTTCTTTGAGATTCAAATATTTTAGCATTTAACAAATGTTAAATGTATTTTAAAAACTCAATTTAATAGCATATATCAAGAAATGTTTTTATAAGACAATAACATAAATAATAAAAATAAAAAGTACAAATTTCATTGAATTTATTTTTTATAAAATATGTTATATATAAGTTTCGATAAATTATTTTATATTAAAAATAATCCAAAATGATTTAAATGTAATGATTTTATGTAAGTATAGGAAAATTTCAATGAAATCTGTTTTAAACATATTTGTATCATTACAAATATACTATAAATATAAAGTTCAGTCTAATTTATATTGCTCCTTTTCTCATTTAATAAGAAATCTTACAAACTATGATATATTTATATATTATATATTAATAAACTATTTCATTATTCATTATTATAAAATATACTATAATAATATATAACATTATTAGTTGGAAATTTTTATGTATAATTTACAAAACAGCACAAGTGTCATGTAAATCAATAAAGTCTTAAATGCATAGAGAATCTTTTAATTGTACATATGTCAATATTTCATGAACTTCATGAACTCAACATTTAACCAATTATTGTAGATATCTTTGATCACTGAAGCATTATTTTTCCTCAAATAATGCAAATACATAGATAAATATAATTATATAATATTAGTAAAAAATTAATTACTTATGTTTGTTCTCATCTTTCAATATCTACATAATTATATTATCTATATAATTATATTAAAATTAGATTAATAATGTATTTAGTTTTAGAAATGGTTACTATAATATAGTAACACATTAACCAAAATATGCACCACAATTAGAACAACGTCGTGTCTTTAACAACAAGCAACAAATTATGCCCACTGGGAAGAATAGAATAGCACATAGTAGTCCAAGACATGTAAAATCATCTTCCATAATGCCCACCTATGTTTTAGTTAAAATCTGAGTTTAATCATTCTTTTTTTAAGTTTTTTACAAATTTTTTTAAATTGAGATTTTTAAGTTTATGAAAATAGAAATATATTATAATTAAAATTTTAAATAAATTAATAAAAATAAAAAATATAAATATAAATTCAGAAATTATATTATTTTAAAGAATGGTTAATTAAGAAATCTCACTCTACATGCAGGACATCCTCCAACTAAAATAATTTCTGGCATAATTATCGTAGTTGATTGTGTAGAACCATAAGAAGGTACATAGTTATGACTATTACTAGTTCCACTGGCACTAGGATAATATCCTGGAGGTGGAGGCCATGAAGTAGATTCTTGACATTGTGTGGAATTGTATCCTGGTGGTGGTTGCCATGAACAATTTACTATGCAAAATATATTTCATATTAATTTTTAATGTTTTTAAAAATAGTTTTAAAAAATAATAATTTAAAATAAAAAAAGATTATTATTTATTATTAATTAAATAAAATACAATAATATATTGAAAATATATTGAAAATTAATTTATTTTTTTGTAGATATCATTATCTAATCAATTTAGATAATTTATTTGAAATACAAAAAATAAATCATAATATGATAAACGAAAAATTACTTATTTAAAATAAAATTAATAATAGAAACTAAATGCAACTAATTTTTTATAGTTTTAAAATATTTAAAACATTAATTAAAATATTTTATAATATATAATGTTAATAGTATAGATTTATATTATATTAATATTTTTTAATTACTTTTCAAAATTTTAATAATGCTAATAAAATAATTTTAATCATGTCTTAAAAATTTCATAAACATTTTTCATAATAATGAATAATAAATATAGGAATTAAAAATTATTACGAAATTATTCTTAATTTAAACTTTGTAACTTAAATATAATTAAATTAAATATTAATAAAAGTAATTTTTAAATGCAAAAAAGTATTGAACAGTAATATTAGAATTTTATCACTTACTTTCTGGTGCAGTTGCCGCCGTATAAGACGGAGGTTTATCATCTTTTGGATTCAACGGTTGTTTTTCCATTATTTAATAATTAAATTAATTGCTTTTATTAGCAATTCATGCAATCAATTTAATTAAATAATTAACATTGATTCAATAATTTTTTGACAATTAGTGTTCGTAATGGTCTCCAAATCTTATAATGCGATTCCAAAATAAATAATGCATCGATATTTCCGTTTGGAAGAATCTATGAAATACTGTAAGATTAAGATTTCTCTTTTATTCTTCAATTAGAAAACGAAGTTTTATTGGTTGATCAGTTGTGACGTCATTATATACATATATATAATATATATAATCGTTTTAATTTAATACGCGTTTCAAGCCGCATAATAAACGTGTCATCTGTTATAATTAAATAAATATGTATAAATATTTCATTAGTAATTTATTTACAAATTTTTTTTCAAATTATGAGAATTATATTTAATATAAATAATTTATTAAAAATTATGAAATATGAAAATTTTTCATATTTAAGTTAAAATAAATTTTTCTTTTAGTTTTTATATGAAGATTAAGTATAATTATATTAATTAAATATTTTTGAATTTTCATTTTTATTATTGATTTAATAAAAATGTTGTTTTTATCAGTAATCATTGATTTAATCTTTTAAATATTTCTGTATTTAATGTTTAATTATTTGTCTTTAAATTCGAAATTTATATATCTAGAAATTATTAATCATTTATTTGAAAATTTATTTATTTATTTGAATATTTGATTATTTAGTTAATTTATATTAATTACAATTTGTTGAATACTAAAAAAAAAAATAAAATGGACAATTAAATAAAAATCTTTTTATGCTTATAAATATTGATATAATTTATTAATTATTTAGTTATTTATAATACTATATTATATATATATATATATACATATAATATATATATTACATATTTAATATAATTATTTTGTATCTTCTATAGATAAATTTATGGAATTGTGCATTTTATGAATACAGTTACAATATCTATTATAATCGCTAAAAAATTATGCTAAAAAAAAATAAAATCAATTAAGTTTAAAGAATAATTCTTTTTTATTATAAATTTTTCTTTTTAACAAATCAATAACAAAGTTGAAATTATGAAATATTTTAAAATATAAAGATTTGATTTTTCCCGCTATTATTTAGTACCATTTATAAAAGATAATGTTCATAATATTTTATCTGTTATAAATTTTTATTTTTTTAATTATTTTAAATGAATAATCACTACTAAAAATATATTTTTAATAAAAAAACGCATAAATAATAATTCGAAATTTAAAAAAAAGAAAATATTAAGAAATTTCATAAAAGTTTGAAACGTATATACGATACTGATCTAGGGATTCCTAAATACTAGGGATTTCATCATAAATAACTAGCAAATTGAGGGCGCCACATGATTCTCCTTCGTCGTTTAGTCTGTGTCCTCTGTGATTTCTCTGTTGTTTCGAAAGTTTGCTGTCATTTTTTGAAATTTCATCATCATTTTATAACATTTCATAGAAAAATGATTTGAGACAATATTTTATGACGAGATTAGTTTGAAGTATTATTGTCTTTCTCGTTTGTCGTTCTCAAAGCTCCTGATCGATCCGCATTTCATCGACAGTGTCGCAGAAGTTGCCAGTCTCTGCAGACAACTTCTGCCTTCAAAAGATAGTGCAAGACAATGCATGAGGAACCGGTACATAAATTACAGTGGTAAAGATGCGAGACTCTCGTCGAGTCACGTGTGCTCCCGTGGCAGCCTAGCAGCGGAATCAGCACGGCTCGGCGACGATGCGAGATAACTCCAAAGAAATGTTCATTATCAGAGCTTTGGAAAAGATCCTGGCTGACCGGGATGTCAAACGGTCGCACCTTTCTCAACTTAGAAAATCCTGTGAAACTGCACTTGGTAAATAATTAATTGTAAAAGTTCTCTATAATACTATATAATAATACTATATGTATAATTGAAAGAATTTTTTGAGATTTATGCAAATAAAATGAAAATTATAAAATACATTATAAAATTTTACTTGCATATAAGTATATTATATTAAATTCAAAATTATAATATATTATTGTATATAATAATTACATTATATATTTTATATATATTTTATAATTTATATTAATAATAATTTTATATTTTTATTCATCATATATTTTAATATTATAACTTCATATATTTTAAACAATAGATTGAAATCATTAAATTAATATTTAGATATTAAAAATTAAGTAGAATTGCATTTTTTAGTCTTCATGGAAAGATATAAATTGGATTAATTCAATACATATTAATACATATTACATCAGCTTTTTATTAGTTTGACATTTAAGATAAAACTATATATATTATAACTATATATAACTATATATATATATATATATATATTTGAATAATACATAATCATATT